ACAACGCTTTGACTCTCCCAGTGAGGCTGAGGGAAGAAGAGCAGTTGTCCCTCTGCCCCCAGCTGCCTGGCTGAGGTCACCCGTTTCCCCGGTCAGCACCGAGGAGGGTCCCCTCAGCTGGGGCGGGGCAGGGTGGGGACCACAGAAAGGCCAGAATTTGCATCCAGGAGAGGAAAGAAAATGTCCTGCCTGTGGGGATTAGTCAGTCAGGACCAGAGCAGAGGAGAGGCTAGCCCTGTAAGCTGTGCGTACAAGCTGGGACCCTCCCCAGCCTTCCAAGCAGTGCTGGGAGCTTTGTGGGGATGGCATGGTTGGCCTGAGCCCCATGTTCAGGACAGTAGCGTGGGGGGCAGTCTGAGAGCAGACTTGTGGGGGTGAGCTGAGAGCAGAGGGAAGGAGCGAGTTAAGTCACCATCAGAAGTACAGTCCCTGTTGAACTAGTCTTACGCTGTGCCACGAACTGCTCTGAGCTCTAGCTCAGGTAGGCCTCGCAAAGCCCTGTGCGGGAGGGAGGCGTGCGGGTAAGAGGGGATGGAGGCCCAGGGAGGGGCTAAGACCTTGCGCCCCCCCCACTCCACCCCCATCACAAAACTACCAAATGGCAGCATCAGCCCTCGTCATCAGGGATCTCCAGACGGGGCCTGTGTCCCCACATCTGTCACTGGTGCCAGGGGCGATTCAAAGTAAAGGGTAACTTTATAAATACATATGAAGATGGCATTTAAATTCCGCAGGTCAGAAAACAGGCCGATTTGGCATCCGAAAATTATTTTTAGCACGTAATTCATTTGCGATGTCCCGTCCTTCAATTAGGATTTGAAAAGCTGATGGTTTAGGTTTTGGGGTGTTTTTTTTTAAAACCTTCCTTCGAGAGATAGATTTCTTCTTTGTTAAATTAACTCCAAAAAAAAAAATCCATTGCTCCTTCCTCTGCCGGAGTCTCTCTTGGCAAAGACTTTTTATTAAGTGCCCCAACCTATTCTTGAGTCACTGAAATGTAACAATACAGAGTCATTTAAATGCTAATAAGAGGAAACCGAAATGCATAAACCCAATATTGTCAGAACATTCATTCTGGATTCTGAAGGAGCTAGCGCATCAGAGCCTGAAGGGACCCCAGAGAACACTAGTCCAATCTCTTCAGTTTCCACATGGGAAACTGAGGCCCAGGGAGGAAAGGGGCTTGGTCAAGGTCACACAGCAGGAGCTTGGAAAACAGGGAGGGGCTTTTCAGTGGGCTGTGACCCCAGTTGGCTGTGTGCCCCCTAGTTGTGTTGCTCAACCTCTCTGGGCCCAGGACTGGCTGCCCAGATTTCTGCCCTGCCCAGGCACACGTCTTAGCTCGGGTTGCTATAACAGAATACCATAGGCTGTGTGGCTTAAACAACAGAAATTTATTTTTCATAGTGCTGGAGGTTGGGAAGTTCAAGATCAAGGTACCAGCAGATTCAGTTCCTGGTGAGAACCCACTTCCTGGATTACAGATGGCCACCTTCTCACTGTCCTCACACGACCAAGAAAGATCATCTCTGTCATGTCTCTTTTTTATAAGAAGACTAATCCCATTTGTGGGGGTTCTACCCTCATGACCTAATTACCTCCCAAAGGCGCCACCTCCAAATATCATCACACTGGGGATTAGGGCTTCAACATACGAATTTGGGGCAGGGGGACACATTCAGTCCATAGCAGCCAGTGTGCCCATCAGTTAGGACAGGGGTGACTGTCAGTGTGGTATTAAGAACTGGCTACAAATGAACCTCATCTCAGCCTTGAGGGAGGTGCAGTTGCTAATAACAGGGTGCGTAGGTAGGAGGGAGTTTGGGGGAGGTGCAGAAGCCAGCACTGTAGAGTATCTGCTCCAGGCCAGGAGCCACACAGAGACCCACACATAAGGGCCTCAATGGGTCCTTACAGCAGCCTGTAAGACAGATGGGTCAACCTCACTGGGCAGATGAGGCCCAGAAAGGTTAGGTGACTTCTCCAAAGTCACACAGCCCATTTTCCTGAAGGGGAAAAAAACTCCCTACTCATGTTAAAAGGAAAAATCTTCTCTGATACCCTGGGCCAGGTCACATCTTCCTGCTCTGGACATGCACAGCACCTGGGGCTCCCTGTCATGGCAAACCCATCATATTATGGAGGTCACTCATCTAATTGTCTCTCTTCCCCCTTGTCAGCACAAAGTAGGTGCACACAACACAATTAATGAGGGGTTGGTTGGATGAATAGATGGATGAACATATGGGTAGATGGATGGATAGTTGGTTGAAGATCATTGTTCATCTTAACACAATAGTCATTAAAATCACCAGTAGCCCATTAACTCATCTCTGCTGTTGTCATCACAGATATAATTACTGCTAACGGGTCTCATAGCTCGTGCTGTCAGAGATGTAATTATCAGTGCCTGTAGGACACGCCACAGGTAGCAGGAAGACAGATAGAAGACAGCACCTCGGCGTTAGGGTCCCTTGCGGTTTTTGCAAAGCACTTTCATTCACATACAGCGCTTCATTTAAGCATTGTAAGAACACTATGAGGGCGATGCACCAGGGAAGGCAGCAAAGCATCCTGATTAATAACAGTGTCTCTGGATCCAGACTGCCTGAGTTCAAATCCCAGCTCTTCCACTCGCTAACTCTGTGACCTTGGGCAAGTGACCTCACCTCTCTTGGCCTCAGTTTCCTCATATGTTCTAGGGAATAACAAGACTACCTGTCTCATAAAGTGGTTGTATGGATTGCTAATAATCACAATAATTAGTGCTTACCATGCGCTTGACTCAATTCTTAGTATTCTGCATGAAATAATTCACTTAAGCCTCATAATACCTATGAAGTAGATACTATTACTCCCCCTCCCTTTGTTTAAGATAATGAAACTAAAGTGAATTGGCCTCCCAGTCTGTTGAGAGGTGGCAAAACTTGAACCCAGAGGCTGTGTCTTCTAGAGCCCCTCCAGTTAACCTCCACGGCATCTCTACACACAGGCCTGCTTGGTCCCTGCCTCACCTGCTCCTCTCGGGGATATACCGTTGGGGTCAAAACTCACGGGTTATGGTGGTGGTGCATGCCCGGATGGCCAGGGGCCCCGAGTATTCCTGCAGGACTGTGGGTGGGAATCCCAAGCACACACTTTCTTTGGTGTCTCGTGTCTCTGCTTAAGGCATCAGGCCCATTTTAAGTTCTACTCGGTAAGATACCAGTTGGTCCCAGTGTGAAAATAAGGCTTCCTATTGCATCCTTGAGTGCCAGTGCCCTCCCGTGAGGTATGACAGGCTTCTCCTGTGGCTACAGCACCCCCTGGTCCAGGCTGGGAAGCTACCCCGGGTGGAAGCTCACTGGATTTGAACACGGTGGTTCACAATTAGTTCCCAGTAAACTGGGAAGTAGCTGGGGCACAGGGGAGAATGACTTATTTTACAGATGAAGAAACTGAGCCTCGGAAAAGTGAAGGGACTTGCCCAGGATCCCACAGCCGGGGTTCAGGAGATCTCGGATTTGAACCCGGATTGCTGTGATTTAGGAGCCTGTGTTGTTCTTTAGAGAGAGGGGAGGGAGCGCCCCCTAGTGGGAGGGGAAAGAGCAACGGGCTGGCAGTCAGGAGATCCCAGCCCAGCTCTGGGCTCCGTCCACTCCTGCTCTGTGTGTCTCTGGACAAGTTCCTTTCCCTCTCTGAGCTTCAGGTTCCTCACTGGGAAAATGAGATTAACCCTAAATTACCTCCAGGTCTAAAACTCTGTGCAAGAGGAAAGGATTGTGAAGGAAAGAGATGGGGCAGGGGAGGGGCACACGAGGGAGGAGTTGGGGCTGGGGTGGGGCTCAGTCCCACCTTCCTGCCCCCACCTCTTCCCCCTCACTGTTCCGGGCCTAGGACGGCCAGCTTTCCGCGGCTGCTGGGCGGGGCCAGTCCCTGTGCCAGACCCAGCCGAGCTCAGCAGAGGCCCTTTGTCACCCAACGCTTGCCGGGGCCTTGGCCACCGGTGTTGGGTATCTGGGTGGATTGGGTTCTCTCCTGGCAGCTCCACAGATGCCACACTCCGGCAAGGGTGGCCAGGCGGGCAGGGAGTAGCCGGGGCTCCCTCCTCCTCCTGGGCTCCCTAAGGGACGTGGCAGCCGCGGTCCGTGGTTCCGGACTCTGGGGCCCCAAGGTGAGGGTTCTGTTGACCCCGGCTCGTTCTGAGGGCCACAGTGACATCCTGGTGAATATGCATGAGACGGACCCTCTGGCGAGGCTGAGGCCCTCGATCAGTGTAGCTGTGGGCTGTGGGTGCAGGCAGGTTGCTTTCTCCCATCCCCACGCATGTGAGACTCAGTGGGGAGAGCAGTGCGTTTCGGCAGATATAGGAGGTGTGGACGGAGGAAGCATCCGTGCTGGGGCATCTGGGAGCTGTTACTTGGGGGCAGGGGGTTAGGCCCCTGATTGTGTGGGCATGGCATGTGTGTACACAGGGTTGTGAGCTCTGGTATTTTTGAGGGGAGGAGGTGGGGATGTTAAGATGACGCCTGTAAATGTGACTACGTGTGACAGTGTGCCTGGTGGGGAGGGGGTGTCCGCCACCATGTGTGTGAAGGGGGCCCTGTGTTGGTGTGTGTGTATGGCAGTGGGTGGGCCCTAAAAATAGTAGGCAGGTGGGGTGTTGCACCCCAAGCGGCATGTCACAGAGTGTGTGTACACCAGGGTTCGTATCGCGAAGTCAGTGTGTCCATAGTGGACAATTAGGGGGTTAGCATGTGTTATGAGGGTACATCAGGCTATGCCGGGGGTGTGGTATAGCATGGAGGGCCTAGTGGGTGTCAGTACGTTTGGATTTGCAGTGGGTGCCGGTGCACGATGGGGTGTTGTACGAACATCCACGTCCAGGTATGTGTATGTGTGGTGGGTGTTACTTGGGGTGGGGGGCGTGTGTGTAGCACCTGCAAGCCGGGCCTCCTGGGTACCTGCCCCATGAGGCCTCCAGTGTCTGACCCCTGTCCCCTCTCTGCTTGCCCCTGCAGGAGCCATCACCCCGACCATGTAGATGCCAGCTCCAGGGAGCAGCATGGGCCCCGCTGAATGGAGACTCCTGGGTCTACAGCCCTGAGCCCCTCCGGCCCCTGGACCTTGCCCCACGCCCGGGGACGCCCCTCAGAGCCCACCGCCACTGTCGCCAGCCCACCTCGGCTGCCCCCTGGAGTCAGCTGCCAGGAGCCACAGCCGTCCAGTGAGGGTGTGCTGAGGACAGCCACACGGAGCCGTCGCCTGGCAGCCTCCTGTCCAGCACTGACCCTCGGACCCACCCCGAGCGGGGACCGCGGCAGACATGGGTGACATGACCAACAGTGACTTTTACTCCAAAAACCAAAGAAATGAGTCGAGCCATGGGGGTGAGTTTGGGTGCACGATGGAGGAGCTGCGCTCCCTCATGGAGCTGCGGGGCACCGAGGCCGTGGTCAAGATCAAGGAGACCTACGGGGACACTGACACCATCTGCCGGCGCCTCAAAACCTCACCTGTCGAAGGTAGGTGCACAAGGCTTAAACACGGGGTTTGAATTCGGGGCTCCGTCAGACCCTGGGCTCCCTTACCCAGGCCCCAGGAACCCCCTCATCTGGGCTTGAGCATGGAACCAATGAGCCAATTCCAGCTCCCCAGCCCCTGCTGCTGGGCTGCGTCATGTCCGACTCATCCAAATCCAGACTCTGATTGGGGATCCCTCGGTCTCTGGGGCAGCCGTGGAGCTGCTGGGAAGACAGAGCAGGCAGGAAGATGGGCTGTCACGGGAAAGGTGACAGATGCCCATGTGTGTCTTGCCCTGGAGCTGGGTGTGGGGCTTTCTTACAACTGCCAAAATGAGCAGGCCTGCAATTTCCAGACAGGGAAGGTTTCAGCTTTCTGGAGGGGACCAAAGCCATGTCATCTGCCACAAGGCGGAGAGGAAGGGCACCAGCCCAGCTTGCGCACCAGAGCTCAGAGTTTGGGTTCCATCCCCGCAGTTACCTTCCCCTCACAAGGAAGAAGAAAAGTTCCCTAAATAAACCCCAAAAGCACAGGTGTGAGGTACTCTGCCCTGGCACTCCCAGTCCTGCAGCTTGGTGCAAAGGAGCTGCAGAGCCTCACTTTCTTCCTCTGGAAAATGGCCGATACCTACCTCACAGGGCCTAGTGGAAGCCCGAGCATACAGTAGGTGCTCAGTAGGTACAGTGGCAGCCGTTATTATTCTAAAGAGAGTGGATGACAGTCCCTCCACCAGGTATAGACCACACCCTGGGAGGCAGGCAGCATTTGAAGTCTCATCCCCACCGACAGACAAGAAATCTGAGGCTGCCTGTGGACCTAGCTGCTCAGCCAGGGCCAGACAGTCCGTTGCTGTGCCGGCACCCACTGTGCCCTGCGGCGCCAGGGGTCAGTGTCCCTCTTTGTCTGGGGCCCTCCTCTCTTGGGTCAGGAGGAAAAGCTAAGACTGGTCCTTCTTCCCAGATTCGCTGCTGTCTCTGATGTTTCGCCCACCTTGCTGAGTCTGGGCAGAAGTTTAGGAACGCCTTTTGCTTTTTTGATATTGTTTGGTTTTGTTTTGGCGGGGAGGGTGGAAATAGGGGAAGCGTCATTTCTTCCCTGCACGATTCTAGCTCAGGGCTTGAGAACAGCCACGTGTGGCCCTGAGATGGGAGTGGGCTCAGCCTGGGGGGCTCCTGGGCCCCGGCCTCATGTAAACATCAATCTGTGGCAGAATGGCCCATGCTCACCTCCACCATCAGTTTGGCACACCTGACCTGCTAGGAGGCAGGGTTGTCCCAATGGTCTTTGCCTTTTGAATGGGACCAGGAGATTCTCTTAAGTCAGGGATTCTTAAGTGTCTCTGGACCCCAGACTCTGTGGAGAACCTGATGGAAGCTACGGCCCCTCCCCGCAGAAGAATAGTCAACTGTGTGCAACAGTGTGGTCCACGCTACCAGCATGTTCGCAGAGCCCCTCAAAGCCAGGCCCTGGACCCCAGGTTAAGAAATCCACCCTCCCCTCCCACCTGACAGGCTCGGGGACCTGGGAAATCAAGTGACTCATGGCCACGCTCCAGCTGGGGACAGCAGGTATGCACCTGAGAGCAGGAATCCTGTCCTGCTCCTCTCTGAACATCCAGCACCCATCCCGGTGCCTGGCACAGAGGAGGGTGGGTAACTGACCCATAAAACCCTGAGATGTGGCCACTGAGTCCCCAGCCCACAGAGAGAAGCTCTCAGATGGCTGAGCAGCCAGAACAGCAGATAACCCAGACCAAGTGCAGCAAGGACCCCAGAGATCGAGGAGAAACGAGATGGGTGGGCAGTGGAAGTTAGGGAAGGCTACCTGGAGGAGGAGGTGTTTGAACTTGGCTATGGAGGGAAGAGAAGGGAAAGCATGTGATGTGGCACAGAGCCACCTTTCTTAGAATTCCCCAGACTGCTGATGTGCTGTAAGAAGTTACACAAAAAGAAAAATAAAGGAGACTTTGTTTTCTCATCTGTAAAATGGGAACGATAATGACAGCTCTGACTGTTGCTCTGCTGCCTGTCAGCTGTGTGCCTTTGAGGCTTTTGTCTGACCTCTCTGGGCCTTGGTTTTCTAATATTTCATAAGCATCAAGTGAGATCTCTCATGGGAAACGTCCCTGAGAAGGAGGAAAGCCCACAGTAGGATTAACCAGAGCCCCTGCTGCCTTGATCCCCTGAAGGATTTCCCGGGGTGCAGATGGAGCTGAAAGAGGTTTGGGGAAGGACAGAGGAGCGTAATGCTACTCTTGGACTTGGACTTGGACAACTTGGGTTCAAATCCCAGCTGTGTCACTTAACAGCTGTGTGATTCTGGGCAAGTTATTCAGCCTCTCTGTGCCTTAGTTTCCTCATCTGAAAGATGGGATAATAATAGTGACTACCTCATAGGGTTGTGGTGAGGCTAAAGTGAAGTAGCTTAGTACCCTGCCTACCAGGCCCATGGACAGCACTGTGGGTTAGAATTCAGCCCCAGAGACTAAACGCCTCCATTTCCCCATCAGTAACATGGGTTTTGAACATTGAGATCAGGCCAAGTTCCCGGCATAGAAGTCCTCAGTCAACATCAGCTTTTGTTGTTTCCAGTATGATTATCACTACTCTGGAAGAAGCAGTCACGTTCTCCGGAAACGGTGAAATCTGACACTTCTGGGACACTGGCCAGTGTCCGAGCTGATGCTACACGTTTTACTAGGCTGTTCTGCATCCTTATCACCCACATTCCTGGCGGCAGGTGGTGTTACCCATTTCACAGATGGGAAGCATAAGGGCTCAAGGTCACCACCATGGCTCACATCAGCTCAGACTTTGAACAACTGTGTCAGACACCACAGCCAGGTGTGCCCTCCGCCCCCAGCCACGCGCGTGTACCTAGGAACAGTCCTGCGAAGGTGCCTTCTGTCTGCCAAGGGTCTGAGGAGGGTGGAGCCACCAGGGCACTTTTCATTTTCCCTCTCATGCTCAGCATTTGTTCTGCCCTGTTTAGCCCTCTTCTGACTCAGAGAAATGCTTGGCCTCCAGCCCCAGCCCCCAACTTCAAAGCCCAGTGGTCTGGAGCTGTCCCAGCTCCAACCTGTCCCAGGGTCCCAGGTTGGCCATTCCCGACACCCCCTGCCCTAGTCTGCTGACGTCAGCAGGGAGCAGCTTCTGAGTCACACTCCCGGAAACTGCTCCAGGCCCCGCATAAATTAGCCTTCCTGTTCACATCCAGCTAATTTTAGGCAAAAAGATCTCTGCAAGTGATAGAGGGGATCTGAAGCCATAGAAATCAACTCCCACCCGGGGCACCACCTGCCGCCCGCACAGGCCATGAACTCAGCGCCCGTGGTCTGGCAGTGTTGGGTATTTCACTGGGCCATTGAGTGCCATTGCTTTCCTCTCCCACTGCTGGTTCTCTTCCATCCTGGTAATGCCCCTCCCTTCGTGCCCTCCACTGCTCCCTTCTTTTCATACCTGTCCAGCCTAAGACAGTAGAGCCCCTGAGACTCAGGTTTGAATCCTGACTGGCTTACTCTTCTAGGGACACTGGGAGAGTTCAGTGAATCCTCTCTGAGCCTCAGTTGTCTTATCTGTAAAATGGGCATAACACTACCTACCTCACAGGATGATGTGAGAAATAAATCAGGTCATCCACATGAAGGGCTTAGCACTGTGTGGCAGTCCCTAGACACTTACAAAATGATGTTCGTTATCATTGTTATTATTATACCCAAGTATCTCTTTTTTTAAAAAAAATCATGATCTGGCCCCATCCCTGTACAAAAATTAGGCAATTAAATAAGATGGTGCCCAACAAAGGGTCAGTGTGCTATCAGAGGAGGCTTCCCAGAGGAGACGACTTCACATTGTCTGGAAAGATGGGTAGTGGGTGTTGGGGTGGCCTGTGAGCCCTGAGGCAGGAGCTGACTGTCATTCTCCACTGTATCCCAGCACCTGCTGCAATGCCTGGGACTCAGAAAGCATCAGCAGAATGAAGGAAGGGAGGGAGAAGGAAGAGGTGGGGTGCTTAGCGTCCCTCTCTGTGTAGTATGGAAGGCTGCAGTGTGGGGACAGGACACAGGACACCCTGCGTCACCCAGAGAACACTTAGCTTCGGTTCCCGGGAGCCCGGAGTGGCAGTGCCCTGAGCCACTCACTCGGCATGCATGGCTCTCGTCCTTCACTCCTGACCCTGCACCACCAGCTGTCAGCAGGGGCAGCTCAAGAGGCCCTGCTGGGCGCTCCCTGCATTGCATATTTCATGGTGGGGGAGAAAGGGGACAAAGAAGACAGGGCAGCCGCAGGGTAGGGTGGGAACCGGATACATCGGAGTGTTGTGAAATGGAACCTCCAGTTAATTTTGTATGAATCCTATGGCCTGCCCAAGTCGGGGAGAGAGAGGGGCTGAGGGAGGACAGGAGAGCAGATCATGGGAGATGGTACCCCATGTGGCATGAACACGATGATGAACGAGACACCCCTCAGACCTGGCAGGGCCCACATTGCGCAGAGCCACCACTGCGCAGGCACGGGGCGGGGGTGGGGGGCATGAAGGCAGCAAAGGGGGTCTCCTGTTTGTCACTGTGACGCTTTGTTTCTCCGTGTGCTCCGTCTCCCCAGGTATCTCTGGAGCCCTGAGAGGTCAACAGGGAAAGTGAGGCAGACACAGCTGTAGCAGTGTCCCAGGCAGGGTGGAGCTGGGGGCCCGCTCAGACACAGGGTCCATGCAGGGAATTCATACCTGGCCAGAGATGAGGGAGGACGCCTTCCCCCACCAGCCCCTCCCCACCGCCGTCTTCATGTGAAGCAACCCAGGATGCTGTCAGGGGCAAGGCCTGGAGGAGCAAAGCCCCTCCAGGTATTTAAGAGGCTGAGGTAACCAACCACCTTCTCAAATACATGCAGGGGTGGAGGAGGGCCAGGCGTGAAGCCGGGGGAGGCTTCCCAGCCTTGCCTCTCTCACTAAGTAGGTTCTTGACCTCAGGCAAGATATTTAGACTGATAGCTTCAGCTTTCTC